AGGCCACCAGTACCCTTGGGATATGGCTCTATGGGCAAGTGACCTGCCCCCAGCATGTCTTTCACATACTCCTTCATGTATTTTATACAAGAAATCCTCAACTTAGGATGGATGCACACATCTTAGAAGGGGCCCAGTGAAGGATCTTCTGTAGAGTTGGCCTTCTGTTAACAAGCAAAACCTGGCCGACTTGAATCTGGTCTTATGCGCCTATTTTCAGTCATTCGGCAGCTTACCATCCCTCAGGAACATTACTGTTACATCCGTCCAGCTTGGACCCATCTCCACACACATTGCTTCGTACTATGTGATTAGTGGTTCTACACTTGAGCCTGACAAACAATCAACCATTATTGTGTTTGCCTCTCTTGATTTCATTACACTAGCCAGGTTAGCCAAGGCATCGGCATGACTATTATCATCTCAGCTAACCTGTTGTAGTCGGCAATCCTAGAACAATGTTAGCAGTTTGACAACCTCTTTGACATAGCCTATCATTCGTTCATCTCGGGCTGCATGCTCGCCTGTTGCCTGATTCATAATAAGTTTGGAGTTGCAGAAGACCACCATCCCATCGGCTTCCATTGCTACTGCTAACTTTGACCTTACAATAAGTGCCTCATACTCTGGTTCATTATTTGAGGCCTTGAACCCCAAACGAATAGACTGCTCTATCATTTGCCCTTCTGGCGATACTAACACTACCCCTACCCCCGCTCCTTGACGGTTTGAACTCCTATCAACAAACAGACGGAATGAGTCGCCGATATAGATGTCGCAGGGCTTTGGTTTTTCTTCTTTCTTTTGTTTTGTTGGAGTAGGGTTCTTGAGCCCCAGTTAGGTTTCTTCTTACTCCCTTAGGTATCCCAAGCCTGGCTCACCGGAGTCCGACGAGGGATGGCACCAAGGATGAACTTGGCCACAAAGTCAGCCAGAACCTGGCCCTTAATTATTGTTCTAGGCCTAAACTCCAAGTCATATTGGCCCAACATCACTACCTATCTGGCTACCCTACTAGTCAGATCTCTTTGCTGCAACAGAGACTTCAAAGGATGCTCAGTTAGCACCACAATCTTGTGGGCTTGGAAGTAGTGATTCAGTTTTTTCGAAGCCATCACTAGGGCTGGTGTCAATTTCTCCAAGGGCAGATATTTGGTTTCTGCACCTGCTAGGGTCTTACTTATATAGTATACTGCCTTTTGTTCTCCCTCCTCTTCTTGGATCATTACTGTGCTTACTGTGTGTTCTGAAACTACCAAGTATAGGAACAATTCTTCTTTAAGTACTGGATTTGACAGAACTGGAGCTATTGCTAAGTACTTTTTCAAGTCAGCCAAGGCAATTTCATATTTTTCTTTCCATAAAAATTCTGTGACCTTCTTTAACAAACTAAAAAATGGTCTACACTTATCAGAACTTCGGCTGATAAACCTGTTCAGGGCTGCTGCCTTGCCGGTCAAAATCTGAACCTACTTGGTTGATGTCGGGCTCTTTAAGTCATGAATGGCCTTGATTTGATCTGGGCTTGCCTCACTGCCCCTTCCGGTAACCAAGTATCCCAAGAACTTACCAGACTCGACTTCAAATGCATATTTCAAAGCATTGAGTCGAAGCCGACATGTTCTCAAGATATCAAAAACTGCCTTTAAGTCGGTCATATGATTCCCAGGTTCGTTGGTCTTCACAACCATGTCATCAATGTACACTTCTACTATCTTGCCAATCAGATGTCTAAACATCTTGGTCACTAACCTCTGGTAGGTTGCTCCTGTACTTTTTAACCCGAAAGGCATCACTCTGTAACAGTACAGCCTTTTTAGGGTGATGAATGCAGTCTTCTCCTTGTCAGGGAGATACATTTCTATTTGGTGGTATCCATTGTAAGCACCTAGGAAGGTCATCCTTCCATGCCCTAAAGTGGCATCTACCAGCTAATCAATTTTAAGCAGAGGAAAGTTGTCTTTGGGACAAGCCTTATTCAGGCTAGTGAAGTCCATGCAGACCCTCCACTTCTCATTCTTTTTTTTCACAACTACTGTGTTGGACAGGCAGGTTGGGTAGTTCACCTCCCGAATGGCCTTGGCTTCTAACAGTTTGTCTACTTCATTTTCTACTGCCTCCACATAAATCAAAGTCGGCCTCATTGCCCACTGTAACAACCCTCACCTCTGACTAGCATTAAATTGTGATTAAGCATGATAAGTAATTGATTAAGATGAAATCCTGAATTGATTGCATGAGTGTGTTGCTTAAATTGCATTTCTATCTGTTGGTCATTGAATGATATGTTCGTGTTTTAATTTAGAATTGTGAATTGAAAGCCTTATCAGCGACCGATTCAGAAATTGATTGGTGTTTTATGCTAATTGGGAATTGTAGGATTTTATGGTAGGTTTAACTAAAATTCAATTAGGAATGATTAAATTAGAATAATCAATGTTAAACTAATTGAATATAGGATATTTACACTTTTGCCACTAAGTGGATTAGTCAAGGCCATTTCTTCTCATACTTTACACTTGTTTGACATCATTCTTCATTTCATCTTCTTAACCCAAAAACGTGAGAGAGTTAGAGAGTTGGAAGAAAAATTGATCCTTCTAGAGATTGGCTTGGAATTTTGAGGAGATTGAAGGAGACTTGAGGAATTAGGCTTCTACACTTGGAATTCAAGACTTAAGGTAGGAAATTCATTCTTTTAATTATGAATTTAAGTTGTTTCATGCATGGTTCATGGAAGAATTGGTGATTAGAGTCAAGATTAGCTTAAAGTGTTGATTTGAGAGTGAATTCATGCATGCATGTCCATATCATAGAGTTTGAAACTATTTTTTCATGAAATACTTACATGCATGTTCATATTCTATAGTTGTGGTCCAAGAATTCACCATGTTTTAGAGTTCAATCTTGCATTTGATCATGTTTTGGAGCATTAGAGTTCATGAGAACTCATGCATGTTATGTTCTTGCATTGTTCATGAAAGTTTCATTGGAATTATGTTCAATTGGCATACTTTTGGGCTTTGATTTTATAAAATGATCTTCAAAACATGTCGTATTATGAGTTTCTAAGTGTTTTTCAAAAAATTGGAGTTTGAAGCCTTAAAGGTTGAGTTTTGTGCTTGAGGATCAATCTGGAAATTCTAGATTTTTGATCCAAGCTCGAGCGTACACTCTGAGTACATGCACTTCAACTTGAGCATCGAGAGTCACGCTCGAGCGTGACATGCATATGCCCAGAAGTTCATGTGTTTTGATGTCCGCTCGAGCGAGGTGATCTGCGCTCGAGCGAGGGTCTGAGTCTCACACTCGATCATGGGTCGAGCGTCCATCGAGCGTGAAAAACGTGCAACCAGTACTTTTTCATGAGTTTGCAGTCTGCTCGAACGAGGGAAGTCACGCTCGAGCGGAGCTTTATTGTCTGCATGTCAGCTCGAGCGTATAAAGCCACGCTCGAGCGAGACCCCTCTTTTTCAGCAAATTTTGAAAAGTGTTTTAAAGTACATTTTTGCATCCTCATTTCATCCTAGGCATTCTTAGGCCAAGTTTAAGGCATCTTATTGAGGATAATGTTATAGAACCACACCACGTCAAGTTAAGGGGCTAAGTTATTAATCCCAAGTGTGTAACTTAGTGTGTGTTCATTCTGCAACTGTGTAGGGTTAGCACCCGAGGACGCTGACTAGCCTGTCTATAGCCCAGTAATCTGTGAGTAACAATGTTGTAAAGATACGTTCAACTATAATTATTTCTGAACGATTGACTGTACTGCTTTCTGAAATGACATTGTTTACTGAATGAATGTTTGTCCTATTTGTAAACTGTACTTGTGGCATCCATAGCAACTTACTGTTACTGTTACTGTACCGTTACTACTATTGTTACAAAGATCTCTGTCAGTTCCAATGTTTGGGACTACTGTTTACTGTTTTGATGGTCATCTACTGACTGTTCGGTCTATTAAGACCTACTGTACTGTTTTTCTATTGGACGTACCACGTATGACTCTTATGATTTCTAAACGACTGATATGGCATGAAATGTGAGCCACTGATTGAATAACTGATTTACTGATTCAAACGACTGTTTTAATTAACGAAAGGACATTCATTCTTAACCCCTTTACACATTTGTTATTCACTGGGCTTTAGCTCACTGTTTATATATGTATGTAGGTGGCCAGGCACCGGACCGAAGCTAGGAGCGTCAAGTTAAGCCCTTGTTTTGTCAAGCCAACCATTGTGCCTCACTTCGAGGTTCCGAGTCCGTTCAAGCCAAGGCTGTTTTTGGGGTGTCTCAGATTCACCATTTTGTCTCTATTTTGTAATAAATGCTTAAGACTTTTGACTGTACAGTTATGGTAAAAGGATTGGATCCCTAACCTGTATGTTATGTATATCCGATATGTATATATGTTATGGTTATGAATATGGACTAGTCTATGAAAGTCTTTCTCCATTCAGATTTTCACAGCTCATTGGACATATTTTACTTACTGTTTAGTTTCCGCCAGCCCCTTTACTCTGTATTATTGTCATTACTGTTAAGCAGGCCTTTGGTAATCACGGATTACTGGCTGATTACGATGCTAAACCCATAGGGGCGGGTTTGGGTCGTGACACCCGCTGAATGACAGGTTTAGCCGACCTATCTACATTAAGCCTATGGCAAGTGACCTCGGGGTCAATACCAGACATCTCGTATGGCATCCAGGCAAACACTTCTATGTTTGCTCCCAAGAAATCCTCCAACTCCCTCTTCTCCTCCTCGGCTAAGCCTGAGCCAAGAAGGAAAAAGCGCACTACATCATTTTCTTTTACCAAAATCTTCTTCAAGGTTTCCTCACTCTTGTCGACCGGCTCTTTGCTGACATCATCTAAGACCTCCATGTCCTCGTCTTTAATTTCTACTGTTTCTGTCTCTCGCATGTTGCAAGTGGATTTCATTGCTACCATGGAGTAATTTTTTGCCTGCACCTGATCCCCTCTGACCTCCTCAATTCATGCTCCGTTGGGAACCGCAACAGCTGGTTTAGTGTTGAGAGAACAGCCTTCATTGCGTGTAACCACGGTCTTTCCAAGATAACATTGTAAGGAGATAGGGTGTCAATTACTGTAAACTCTGTACTTACCTTCTTCGTGTCTGCCTGTACTTCCAAATTCGTGGCTCCTAGAGGCCACATCGGCGTTCTGCTGAATCCAACTATCGGGGTGCTAGATTGTTTTAGATCATCTGAATGAAGGTCAAGCTCCTTGTAATATCTAACATACATGATATCACAAGAACTACCTTGATTAACCAGTATGCGCCTTACCTGGTAGTTCTCAATCTTTAGTATTATCACCAAAGCATCATTGTGTGGATGTTGCACCATATCTAGGTTTGCCTCGGTAAAAGAGACCATTGGTCCCTGGTATTCATTGGTCCTAGACTTTTTCTGCTGGACCTGATACACATGCTGCAGGTGCCTTACTCTCTGAGTCTTTCCACGCACCTCAGTCTCATTGACCCTCGAGTGAATCGCATTAATTACCCGAGGTCCATTTGCTTGCTGTGGTGATGGCGGTGGAGGTGGTGCTGCTGGTGCCTGGGGCAACCTTATCTGCTTTTCCTTGGTTTTGGCCTCATCTACTAGGTCTCTCAAATGACCCTGTCTGACCAAATCCTCCAAGTGCGCCTTCAGATCCCTGCACCCCTGAGTCAAGTGCCCATCCTCATTATGGTAGGCATAGTGCTTCCCAAGGCTCCTTCCCATAAACTCACCAAGGATCTTCTCCGGCGCTCTATAATATGGCTGGTTCTTGATTCTTTCTAGAACTTTGTAAATCGGGATCCGAAACACAGTGGTGACTACCTATGCAGCCCTCAAGCCTGTCTCTTGCCTATTAAAACCAGTGTTACCTCGGCCTCGCTTCGACGAGTCGTTTCTCTTCTCCTAGTTTGGTGTCTTTACTTCGTGCGTGTCTTCCTCTGCTTTGGCATATTTCTCAATTTGTGCCATGAGCTCTTCCGTATTCTTTGGTAGAGTTTTTGGAAGTGACTTTCGAAGCGGGCATTCATCCTTCAGACCGTCTTTGAAAGATACGACCGCCGGCTCTTGGTTGTATGCTGGTATTCGGTGGAATACCTCATAATACCATTTAGCTTAAGTCCTGAGGCTTTCACCCTCGCTAATGTTCAAAGCCAGTAGGGAGTCTACCCTTAGTGGCTGCAACTTATTTGTTACAAACCTAGCCACAAACAACTCGGCTAGGCCTTCCCAACTCTTCACAGTTCCTTTCGGCAACTTGTAGAATCAATCTGACGCAATTTCTTCAAAGGATGAAGGGAATATTTTGCACAGCAGCTGCTCGTTCCCACTATACAAAGCCATTGAATTCAAATATAAGCCGACATAAAAGTTCGAATCAAACTTACCGTCATAAACCTGGAACCTCGGCATATGAAACCTTTTCAGGGCCTCAAATCTATCCAACTCCACTGAGAATGGCATTCTCGGTTTGACGGGAGATGTGACCTCGGCGTTGAGTCGCTTCCTCTGAAGGTAGTCTCTCAGATCCTTCTTTGTTCGACCGGGAGCTTGGCTATCAACATATTTCAACCTTTTTGGCGCGCTGCTCCTGGTGTCATGGTGTGTCCTCTTGGATTTTTCTTCATTCATTGTATCAAAGCAGAGTCCCTTCCCTTGGACGTGTCGATGTTCTTTGACATAGGTTCCCTTGGTATGAGGCGTCCTCTGATACTCACCTCTCACTGACTCTGCTCGCCCAACATCCCGTGAAGGCCAATATGAACGTTCCTTCTCCTTGTCATCACTACAATAAATTACACTTTTGGCGACTAAATTTTTAGTCGCCAAAAGTCATATTTTAGTTGCCAAAACATTTTGCCGACTAAACTTTTTGGTCACTAGCTTTGTCGGTAGATTATTGTCAGGAAAGGTATTGGTGACTAAAAATTATTTAGTCACTGAAGTCTTCAATTGGCGACTAATTTTGTAGTCGCCAAAAGTTTCAATTGGCGACTAAGAATTATTTAGTCATTGAAAGTATTCAATTGGCGACTAATTTTTTAGTCACCAAAAGTTCATAATAAATTTAACATTATATTTTTAGTGACTAAAGTTTTTTATCGCCAAAAACTTAACCATTTAGGGCGACCAAACTTTTAGTCGCTAATTTTCTTTTTTATCCATCTTATTTCTTTTAGCTACTAAATGGTTTAGTATCCTAAAGTCTAGTTTTTGTTTAGCTACTAAAGTTTTAGTCACCAATTAATTTTCTTTCTTTTGTTTTTTTTTTTTTTGGATACTAAATCATTAGTCGCCTAAAGTCTTTTGTTTATGGCTACTACATATTTAGTCGCCAAAAGATTTGTTTCTATTTAATTCTTTTTTTAGTTACTAACTATTTAGTCGCTAAAAATATTTATTCCATTTTTTGCCACCAATTGTTTAGTAGCCAAAAACATAATTTTTTGTTTTTTGTTTTAAAAAAAAAATTAATTTGTCCACAACTTATATGTATTCCATACAACCTGTAACATGTATACAAACAAAACAATACATATATATATTATCACACATTCCACAATCTGCATCTATTTCACTTACAACCATCCAAACAAAAGAACAACTTTTAATGTTAACATTGCAAACAAAGTATATTCCAACTTAAAATAATAATTTCATACAAACCTATTTAAACATATGAGCTACCAGTGACATCCATACACCACCTATATATAAAATCAAAATACTTCAAAAATTCACTAGAAGAAATCAAAATGTGTTATGCATGAAGAGATACACCAAAGGCGTTCTGTTGGTGTTGAGTAGAATCCAAAAAGACATAATAGATTCCTGTGAATAGCTACACTTATCATCTCAACTTCACGTTGGAATGCTGTGTCTCCACCAGAACTCTCATAGTCATTTAATCGTTTCACAGCCACTTTAGTATTATTTGAAAGCACTCCTTTATAAACCTTTCCAAAACCCCCCTTTCCAAGGACATTTTTCTCATAAAGTTGTCTGTAACTAGCTATAATTCTCGCGAAGCAAATCTTCTCAATTGGCCAAATGTAATGCTTTTGTCAACTTCACCTGAGAATGCAAATAAACAGAATCCATCAGTAAATTATCAGAAAACCCAAGTCATAACAAAATCAATACCTCAATTATATATGTAGCAAAGATTTAGAATTAATGAGAAAGCTAGAGGTTAATACACATTGACAAGATAATATATCAAACACTAAAGAACTAACAAAAATATAATGCGCCAAGAAAAGGAAATTATGAACTATAAACTATGCTAATAAAATCTCAAAATTCAACTGATTACATTTCTTTGGCATTGTTTCATTAAATCCAATTTTTATATACTAATAAGTATTTTTTTTCTTTTCTCAAAAGAATCCAATCTGCCTGTAAATATCAAAGATGCTTCACAAATTGATTAGGGAAAAATATTAAATAAACCTAACAAATAGCAAACTATTTTACGTTCACTTGTACCTGATTTATACAAAATAAATTTATGATTTTCAAGCTTTTAAGCAGCCCACGCAAAGAAGGGGCCAGAAAGCACAATGAAGCACAATGAGTGTTAATCAATTATAATGCAGAACTCAAAGATTTAACAATTAATGTACAAGCATGGGACATAACTTCATTGACAGATTGATCAACAGTGGTTGAATCACATAAACTTCATTGACATAAACTACTGCTTTAATGTGGAAGCCTGGTACTTCACAGATTAAACAATTAATGTGATCAACAACTAATGAATGAAAATAAAATTCCAGATATCACATAATAATACAACATAATAAGGTACATAATTTACATAATAGAATTAATTTTGATTTTTTTTTGTTGGGCAAAATTCACTTTACTCCCTTGACAAGTATAATTTGCTCCAAGTTCAACTTGGATTGATATCACTCGGCCAATAGCAAAAGATGAAACCAACCTGATTCGTGCCTAACATAATATAGATATAAACATATCATTGTTAAGGAAATTTCCAAGGAAAAATACACTTACATAAGAAGCATTGGAGATTAACTCCCTAAAGAAGGTATCTTTCTTGTTGTAAAGTGAGTTGATAACGATGTCCATAAGCCAAGACACCTCAGCCTGAAATTCAAACTTCTCTGCATTACTGCAGAGTAAGCTTTTCGACATCAACTCAGTTTCCACGAACCACATAATTACAAAACATGTTAGAAGATCCAAATCAAGCACATAAGAAGAGTATATAAAAGAAAATCAAACCATACCTGCAAGTTGGGTAATTGTCCTATTTAGAAGATGAACTTACAGAATGCAAGTATGGAAAATGATTTTTACAAAGTTAAACAAAGACTTGTATCTAATCATATCTTTCCCGTGTTTTTCCTTCGGGAAAAATGAAATTCACAAAAAAAATAAGGACTCAAGTCTAGCATTAAACAAGTCATGCGTTTTGGGAAAACGATCCTAAACTCAAAATTTTCGTGTATAGACAAAAGTTTGGTGTCCACATAAATGTAAAATCAAGAATGCAAAATCAATTGAGTTCCAAAGACACTAACAATAGTTAATCACAAAATATCTGAATGTACGATTTATCAAACATTCTTTTGAAAAATAAAGTAAATTAAGAAAGGATAAAAAGCTTTCTTGAAATGAATAGAAAGCGCTAAACGAACACAGATAAATATGCACTCAGAACAAATCAAATTTCAAATACGAAATGTTACCAAACAATGCAATGAAGCATCCTTACCAAATTTATTTTTCTTCTATTTTTTGTTTCATTCCATCTTTGTTAAGGGAATGTTGTCCGTGAGAGCCACATGGTGGTTTGGGGGCTGTTTTGAATTTTCGCATCTGGAATGCCCTTTTCAAAATAAGTTTAAGGCATTTTTAGCTCAAACTCCAAGCCTACGGGTCCTAATTACATTCCGTCTGTTGTCACAAGTCGTAATTGTCATTGGAAAGCTATCCGTAAGAACCACACGGTAGTTCGGGGGCTGTTTTGAATTTTTGCCCCCAGAACGCCCTTTTCTAACTAAATTTAGGGCGTATTCGGCTCTAACTCTCAACCTACGGGTCTAAATTACATTCCGTCAGTTGTCAGAAGTCCTATTTGTCAAGGGGAAGCTATCTGTGAGAGTCACACAGTGGTTCGGGGGCTGTTTTGAATTATCGTCCCCAAAACGCCCTTTTTTGACTAAGTTTAAGGCGCATTCGGCTCTAACTCCCAACCTACAGGTCCGAATTACATTCTGTCAGTTGTCATAAGTCCTATTTGTCAAGGGAAAGCTGTTCGTGAGAGCCACATGGTGGTTCGGGGGCTGTTTTGAATTTTCGCCCTCGAAACGCCCTTTTCCGACTAAGTTTCAGGCATATTCGGCTCTAACTCTCAACCTACGGGTCCGAATTACATTCTATCAGTCGTCACAAGTCCTATTTGTCAAAGGGATGCTATCTGTGAGAACCACACAGTGGTTCAAGGGCTGTTTTGAATTTTTGTCCCGAAACGCCCTTTTGCGACTAAGTTTAAGGCATTTTCGGCTCAAACTCCAAGCCTACGGGTCTTAATTACATTCCGTCTATTGTCACAAGTCCTATTTGTCAAAGGGAAGCTATCCGTGAGAGCCACACGGTGGTTCGAGCGCTATTTTGAATTTTCACCCCTGGAACGCCCTTTTTCGACTAAGTTTTGAATTGTTAAGAATGTAATACGAAGTTTGGTTGTGGAG